AGTGGATGTAGAATTGGCAGCAGCAGCGCCAATGGTGGTAGCAATGGTAACTTTAGCAGTAGATGCCGAGGTCGCTGCAGGAATTGAGGCTCCACTCGCCTGACTCACTGTTTGAGAGGTCCTGTTAGTAGATGACGTTTGAGAGTGCAATTGGACAGAAGCAATGCGGCGGGACAAATTAGTGCCTGTGACTGATCCGACCAAATTAGTTGTTGAAGCTGACGTAAGGTTGCCACCACAACCCCCAACCAATACAGAGCCGGCGCCAACCGGCTGTCGGCGCAGCAAGCAACCTACCGAAGGGCTAGTAGGTAAGTGGATGGAGGAAGATGATGAAGAAGTTGAAATAGGAGAGACGGCAGCCGTAGCTAGTGGTGATAAGGAGCCAGTGAGCCCATTGAAACGAGTTGTCATTGCGAGGGGATGAAGGCTAGAACCTGATCTGATAGTGGAGCCAGGATTAGCCGGAAGAATAGGCGTAGGAAATGAAACCATATCCTGGCTATGCGCTTGAATTTGATTCGTGGATGCGGTGGTTGCCATTATTGCTGATTGAGGATTAAAAGCTTGCCTGGTTTGCATGCCGGGAACTCTGCAAATTAAAAGACCAGAAGAAGCTTTCGTGTTATGAGTATCACCAGTGGACACTGGGTTAAAGTTATGGTGATGTTTATAAGATGTACGCCCAGGCTGGTCGAGCTCACAGCTAATACCAAGAGTACCGCGGCGAGGCAAAATAATTTCTTTAGCACCAGGCACAGCATCCTCATCAACATCTGGGTCCGTGTAAGGGCGTTGGCTTATAAAATCATTGTTCCCCCTGAAAGGGACAGCGAGTTCCATACAATGTGCCTCGTCGTCTTCAGAATCTATCTGAAGAGCATCGGGATAACCAGAGCCAGGTCTGGCTTTAACCTGAGCAGAGTGGAGAAAATAAGAATGTTAGATTATAAATAAATAGTTTAGATATCTCAAATAGATTACATACAAAAGGAATCTCCCAGTTGGTATTAAATAAGTGCATTATCATAATAAAACCATACAATAAATAATTAGTATTTAGCCCATAAATGACCTCAAAAGGTACTAAGAATATCAAAAATAAATCTAATCAAATGGTGACATCGAAAAGACTAGAGAAGGAAAGATAATGGGAAAAAAAAGGTTACCTATATAGGAAAATAATATTAGGATATGTTGTAGAGAAGTCAAGTGTGCAATCTAGATACCAAAATATAGCACTGTGGGAGTCCAGAAAAATATAAATACTAGGATGTAATAGACTGCAGTGTTTTTCTAATTTTAATTTTCAATCGTCTTTTCAGACAAATTTGGGAGTTGTGAGAATACAAACCCTCTGAAAAAATGGAGGAATGCAAGTTATTGAATATAAATGTGATCAAATGAAGTGAAAAAGTTTGAGTAATAAAAAGTGGAAAAATAAATCGATAAAAATCATATTCAAAGCAATAAGCAAGATTTGTCATTTCTAGTTAGATTATGCGAGAACGAATAATCTCCATAGGACTAATTTGAGTTATCTTGAGAGCATAGCTTAAGCTA